ACTGTGCATATACATAATAAGTTTGAGTAAACATCTAATTCAAATTTACTTTTCATTATTGATTTTTAAGTTTAAAGAAATCTTACAAATATTTCTTATTAGTAAACTGTCTTATTAAATATTAGAGACAATAAAATTTATTTTATAGTTTGTTAAAAAGTATCCTTTGGGTAAATATAGAAAAATATGAAGATAGTGCATACATTGTCCAAAATAAAATAAGTATGATTAAATCTACATGTGGATTTATTTTTCGTCCTTCCTCAAACATTCCTACTCTATGCGCCTTTAGAATGTCCCAAAAATCGATTCCGTTGAAATCGTTCTAAGCGCTTTTTAGCAAGCGGAGAGATCGCGAGGTCTTTGCCCGAGTAATGTACATGTAATAATATAACGAATAAAATTCGCAAAAATAAACCTAAAAGAATAGGTATTATATTCAAATTTGCACCAACTCATAATTCATCATGACTTAATAAATATTTTGTTTTGACATTTGAAAGAACACCGGTCATATGCACTTGCCAAATTTGGACAACACTGAACGGTATGAGGTCTTTGTCGGCTCTATAAAAAATTATAAATTTTGTTCCAATAAACGCGCGAAGGAAGATTTATTACAATTTTTAAAAAATATTTGGACTGATAATGAGAAAACTATAAATGCAAAAACGTAGAATAAACAATGAATATATAATGTGTCTGATTTTTAATTTTAAATACATATGACAAATGATTATGAAAAGCTTGAATCGGTTGAAAAGCACAAATCAATGATTGAAAGAATACAAAGTGAATATTACATACACAACTATATATAAACAATTGAAGAAACTTAAATAAAAATTTACCTTTTTTAGGTAACTTTAGCTAAACACATGAATACGATATCAAAATTATTCTCTTGCATAAGTATATGTACTCTCCAAAGTCTATCTAAGATTATAGCTAAGTTAGTATCCATTCGGCGCTATACGAAATTTGAATAAAAATAACCAGTCAATTAATCATTATTTATATAACGTTGCTTGATATTTTCATATTTATATATTTATAAATTTTGTTCTACTACGACTAAATACTATGTATATTGACAGTTATTATCAGTCATGCAAATTTGACATAATTAGGAACCAGGATTAATTTCTTAGTCATAACGAGGTAGTGGTGGCTATGAATTAATGCTTTAAATTTTTTATGCTATCGTTGTGGTGGTAAATAAATTTAATCATTTATTTTTAAACATCAAAGATGTTTTCCATATAACCTTTTGATGCATAAATGATGCCATATTCGTGAAAGATCATTCATTTATAATGTTATTCATTCGACAGGAATTAAAATAAAACTTTTCAGCACGTAATTGTATACACGAAAAAACCCATGTCATTCACGCTACAAGTTTGCAAACGACAATTTGACAAATTAAGAGGATCCTGGCAGTGTGAAACAAAGATTTGTTTTACCTTCATTGGAAAGGAGATGATATAGCAGATACCTTGCTATAAAAATATACATCTTTTTGTTCTGTTTTTATTTTCCTTCAGTTCAATAATCTTACCCAAGCCGTAAAAGGAAGTGAATGAAATATTTATTTGGGCGATGACCCAAAGTTCAGTCTGGACATATTAAGGACGTCCACAGATCGCTGGACATTCGTTCTATTCCTAAACGAATGCTTATTGTTTTCCTATTCTGCACACTAATAATTTTGTGGGGATATCAAGCAGGCTGGTTTTGATTTGTAAAAAACAATGGGACATGTCATGTATATTTTTGATATATCGTAATTTTTACAGTCAATAAATTTGATATATTTTTTATGTTGGGAGTTTCTAATTTAATATATTATCATAATCATTACAACTCCCACAATTTTAATAGATTATATAATTCAATCAAGTTTACTTCACCACAATTAAAAACTGATCGAGCAGTGATTAAATACTTATAGAGGGTTTAATTGTTTGAGCGGTAACTGGGAATATTTTGAGTCCAATACAAACATTATAAAAATTGTAGAATATTCTAATGAAACTATTTCTAAACCTTAATAGCTCCATTTTCTTTAGTACCAAAAAAGACACCGTCACAAAAAATATATATACCCCCTCTTAGCAAAAATGTTATAAACATGCATAGATTTCATGCGGAATGTTCTTAAAATATTCAACAGATTTATTACACTGATCATAATTTAAAAGACATTCCAATTATTGTTAAAATGATTGGTCAAAAGTACCAAAAATCTTTAGAAGTTCTGGAGATAAACAATAGTCGCAGTTTGAGAACCTATAATCTATGTATACAAATATGAGTCCATGGCACAGCGTGCGTAATACATATTCAAATATACCTGAATAAATCATGTCTCATGATTTATCTTCTCGATATTGGACCGAGACGAGACCGAATCATAAAATAGAGTAAAGCAATTCAGTATCCTATCTATGGTAGCTTTATTTTCAAAGATGATATATCACCTAGACTGAATAGACGATATTCGAACAAAATTGCCTTTGGCGTTTTCAAAAATATCTATTACGGAGCAAAATAAATTTAAATGACCATGCATTTTATTTTATAAGGATTGTGAAATAAAATATTACTGATGACATTTTTCAAATATCATCAGGTGAAAAAATAACTTAATGTTACTTTTTGTGAATAGAATAGTTTTTAAGTCGTGATCGCCAGAAAATTGGATTCGCTTTGTTACAAAAATTGTAAAAAGCATGTATCGAATATGAATACATATTTTCACTTTCATGGATTTTGTCTCCAAAACGGCTGTACAGATTTCAAATATTTGAATTTTTTTTCATGTAATTATAAATAGTAGTCTGCCCGAATGCAGGTCCATGGTAAGAGAGCACCACAAATGTATGATTCCATATAAATCTTATAATATTTAATATAGAATAATCAATATTTTTTAATTACAATATCTGTTACAACTGCTAAATAATATAACATCTAGTAACATTAATTAACAATAACATAAATATAATTAAAATAGAGTACAAAATAAAGAAAAGTATTTTCATTAAAATGATATCCGTATTATGATGATTTAATATAAAATAAATAAAATTTGTGAATAATAAAAATAATACTAGAAAAATAATGATGTGAAATAAAAACAATAATCGATATAGCTTATAAAAAGTACTGTTTAAATATTAACTGAAAAATTAATTTTGCAAATATTTCTTTCAAAATCTTTTACAACAATATTTGTATAACGTATAAGTCATTATTGGTGTGAGACAAAAATCAACTATAAAGAATTTTCATTTTTTATCTAATAAATTAGATATTAACTTGTCATATTTTATGTCATGTTCAGAAAATATAGCTCCAGGTTTTGCTGTCACATCTATAGCATATTATATTTCATATGTGCACACCATAAACTTGAAATAATTTATGCGTCTATGACATTGCAACGTGTCTAGCCGGACAATTTGAAAGAATCTCTATTAGCAGGAAAACATTCCTCTGGGGGAAATTTAATGTGTAAACCGTGCTGACCGAGTAAAATATTTGATCGTTCACCACAACAAGTCACGTAAAGTAGTTTTCTTTAATAAGCCATTCATATTACATATTTATCTAATTTTAATAATACTATAAACAATTCAAGAAATGTTTTTTACATATTCTCTTGTCTCATGATTTATCTTCTCGATATGGGACGATATTATAAAAGCAAACAGATGCACATATTTTTATAAGAAATTCCAAAATAATAAGAAGCTTAAGACATGCACACAAGTAACCTCTGTAACCACTTACAATTAGTGAAAACACCCTGCAACAGCTCAATAAACTGAGATAAAACTACACAAGACATTTTGTTAACTTCCCGCAGGGCAAGTTATAGTAATCGCAAAAAATCGAAAATGAGAGAAAAAATGGATGTACGCGTGTGTGTTGTGCGTGTATGTGTGTGTGTTCGGATACAAATTTTCGTCGACGATTTCGGGAACACGGATGAAGCGATTTGAATAATTCAAAAAACATTCGATTCGTATTGATAAGGAGACGTACTGATTAGTTTTTGGCAAAGGCAGGTCTAGCCGTTCCGAAGATATGGGGCAAAAAGTGCCAAAAACGGTAGCTCAGTTTTCAAGAGAACGAAGCGTCCGATTTGAATAATTCAAAAAACATTTTACTTGTATTAACAATGATCAACAACTGATCAAATTTTCATGAAGGCAGGTCTAGCGGTTTCGGAGATCTAGTAAAAAAGTAAAAAAAAATACCACTTGGCGGTCAAAAATGATCATTAGACATATGCACTTCAAATTATCAGATATTTTATAGAGATTTTAACAATAAGTATAAATTTTGTTTACATTCCTATGGGTTCCGTACCAATGTTTATCAGTTAGACGGCTAGGCGGCGCTTACGCACTTCGATATTTCGTCTCTATGCAGTTAAAGCAGTACGATTGCTTTGAAAAAAAGTTCAGAATTTCCAAAATATTTCAAAATAAATTTTTCTTCAAAAAGTCTTTGTTTCAAAAAAAGTAAATTTTTGTCCAAAATTTATAGTTTCTCAAAGATCTAATTTTTTCAGAGTATTTTTTTTTCAAAAATGTTAATCTTTTTTTAAAAAAAAAAATTTTTGGTACGGGAAGTTCCAGCAATTTGCCTTAAGGCACGATGCCATGCATACCTACTAGTTTGATTTTTGTTTCTAGAGCGTACTTTATATCGGATTTTGAGCAGAAGGAGGATGCATGTTTCTTACATTCATATTCGGGGATTGAATGTTAGTTAGGGAGACTGGGCACGGTTGTGCCAGGATACGATAGTGATAGTCGTCATAACAACTAAACTATATTGATTTTGAGATAGAGTCCAAAAGAAAGAAAGATGAAGTAAGATTGTTCAAACAAGTTTCTATTATTGCTTTTAGTCAGTGCCTTACATTAACATGACCTTTGATAAACTCAAACATCTTTTATCCAAAAATCGAAATCTTAACTAACCTGTTGGCGTCATCGGTTTCCTCAAAACATCGCTCCTCATCCCGATATCATCACCATTGCTGCTTCCGTTGCAGTTGCTGCTATGACTACTGCTGCTGCTGCTGCTCGTGCTGCCTCCGCGGTGGTTATTATTGTTTCCGTTGGTAGAGTTATTGTTCACTTGTAAAGCCGACAATCTGTGCGAATTGTGATGGTGATGGTCTGCAGATCTGTCAGCGACGCTTCTGTGGGCGCTGCCAGAAGACGCCGAAGATTGCGCCGCATTCGCGCTCTTGTGGTGACCGGCCGTTACCGCGGATGTGCGTGCTGCGGTTCCCAAGCGAGCGGCAGAGAGATTAGAATCAACTCGCGCTCGGACTTGCTTCGGTTTGTTGTTGTCGTTGTCTACATGAATCTGAAAAGGAAAATAAATATTTATGCAATTGCTTTTGCTTATTTTATATTTGCAGCAACTGCAAATTTCTATTATGACTAGATTTTTGTAATAGTAAAAATAATTCTACTTATATGCTATGCGTGTCTCTCGACATAACGAGCGGAAAAATACTAGTGGGGCGCATGGCATCGTGCCTTAAGGCAAATTGCTGGAACTTCCCGTACCAAAAATTATTATTTTATAAAAAGATTAACATTTTTGAAAAAAAATTACTCTGAAAAAATTAGATTTTTGAGAAACTATAAATTTTTGACAAAAATTTACTTTTTTTTAAAAAAAAAACTTTTTGAAGAAAAATTTATTTTTGAATATTTTGGAAAATCTGAACTTTTTTTCAAAGCAATCGTACTGCTTTAACTGCATAGAGACGAAATATGGAAGCGCGTAAGCGCCGCGTCGCCGTCTAAACATTGGTACGGAACCCATAGGAATGTAAACAAAATTTATACTTATTGTTAACATCTCTATAAAATGTCTAATAATTTGATGTGCATATGTCTAATGATCATTTTTGACCGCCAAATGGCATTTTTTTTTACTTTTTTTACTAGATCTTCGAAACCGCTAGCCCTTCTTCATCTTGTTAATACAAGTAAAATGTTTTTTGAATTTTTAAAATCGGACGCTCCGTTCTCTTAAAAACCGTGTTACCGTTTTTGGCACTTTTTGCCCCGTATGTTGGGAACGGCTAAACCTGCCTTCGCCAAATAATCAGCACATTTCCTTATCAGTACGAATCGAATGGTTTTTGAATTATTTAAATCGGTAGATCGGTGTTCCTAAAATCGTCAACGAAAATTTGTATCCGCACACACACACACGCACACACACACACACACACACACACACACACACACACACATACATCCATTTTTCCTAAGGTATGCCAAAATATTCAGAAACCTTTGAAACGTAAAGATATATAAAAATTTTCATTTTCGATTTTTTTGAGATTACTATAACTTACCCTACGGGAAGTTAAAAATTGTATTAACATAAATATTGCAATAGTAGTTATTGGAGAATTAAGCGGACAAAGAAAAAGTGAACTAACAAGATAACGAATGAAGAAGTCCTGAGAAAAGTGGGCGATAAAGGACTGTACTGAGCACGATCCTAAAAAGAAAAGGAAACTGGATCGGAGCCATTCTGCAAAAAGAGTGCATCCTACACGACGTCGTCGAAGGCAAAATAAAAGGACTGAAAAGATTGGGAAGAAAAATGCAGATTGTTGATGACTTACGCGAGAAAAGGAAATACAGAGAACTGAAAGTTGAAGCACAGGACCAGGGAGCATGGAAGCAAAAGCTTGGAAAGGAAAGTTCATAAAAACGAATATAATATTATTAATGTTCTTTAATTAATGGCAAAAAACAGTAATGGTAATAATAAACAAGGGAGGGGTAAAAAATCATTGATTTAGTGGTGCTCTCATACCATAGACCTCCCTTCGGGCAGACTACTATGTATTACTATTATGTACTTTATGATACCTGAATATGATTTTTAAGTATACATTATTTAAATGTTTCATAAGATGCTCTGTTATTTTTAACTTAGATTCAACAGTTTTTTATATAACTTCTATGAGAGACTATGATTACATGTGGACGGGGTGAAAAGGACTAACTGAAACTAAAAAATATGGCAAAAGTGTAAACAATAAAAAAATACTGAAATATATTAAGTTTAAAAAAATATTATAAGAAAAATAAATTAATAATTATTCTAACTCTGCTGATGGATATTTCTTACAAAATACCACATCAAGGTTATATACAGTGTGATCTTGGTAAAATGTAAGCTCATAAAATTGGTAATCTGCATTGGTTGAATAATGTAGCTATTTTTTCGTGAAATCCTTTTAAAATTAAAAGTGAGACAAAGGATCTGTTTCCCCCGAGCTGCCCTCTTTGCCAAGACTATGGGGTAAAAGAAAACAGATGACCAATTTTGGAAAAAAAAAAAACAAGAACAGCTTATTATCTATATGCTAGGTTTCTGTACAAAATATAACATTGTAGTTCTAATAATGGTAAATTGATTGTATACAATAAAATAACTAATACGTTTTTAGTTAAGCTTTTACTACGCCAAAACAAAATTCATTAGTTTTGCAACACCACATTTTATCGTGATTAGAATTAATTTCAAATTCAGAATTTATAATTTTAGAAGTATCTATGTCCAACACACTCAAGAAAACCAAACGCCTCCTGTTATCAGATTGAACAGATGTATACAGTTTGAAGTCATATTGAACTCAAAGTTTTATTTCTGTTTAATATAATAGATTTCTTTACGATTACAGTAAATGCTTAGCCTTGAATGAAAAAAGCATCTCATGATGGGTCAAAGCTGGGCTTTATGTTTAAGTATGAAACCATTCTCTTGAAATATCTTCTTATATTCTCATAATGTCACATCTGTGTCTTTTATATCGAAGTGCATATAAATGCAAATAGCAAACGGTTACGAGACAATCCTAGACTGAGTCTAACCGTGACAAGAATATTATAATGAACTTCCTTTGTACAGCATGATTTTCAATGCAACTCGTATGTAATTTATTCCATATCGTTATGAAGGTAAACAAACGAACGCGCGTTGTTTCGAAACTACTAATTAAACGTTATTCAGTCTTACCATAATCAGGGAGGTCTCTGTTACCTTATTGAAAATTGACTTATTTGGATGGAGGAACTATATACGTAAATACTTTATATAAAATTAAATATTCATCCAAATGTATAAATAAGACAAAGAGAAACAAAATAACATAACAACTGAATGAATAATTTTACTAGAAAAACGAAAAGCTTATCAAGAATTCTTGACCAAAACGCTATTCGATGGTTGTCAACGCACAAATGGCAATTGAATGACAACTTGTTACCAACAGCAATACAGTCTTTATACATGCTTTTGATATTGGCTATTTGTTTGATTAGCCTGTCATCTCGTTACGATTGAATTGATAAAAAATATAAAATAAATCTGGAGGAATGCAGTAAATAAAGATATACTAAATTGCATATTTTTTACATGAAATGCTAAAAACATTAGAGACCAATTTTCCGATAAAATAGAAATGTTATCGCCACGCAATGTTAGGCTCCTATCTTCATATAAATTGGTAGAAAATACTGTCAAAAAGCTATACATTCGCAGTGCGATTAAGTGTTTCACACATAAAACCTAACCTATAAAACGCGCAAACGTCCAATAACAATTTTATCATGAGTGCATCTTACAATCGTCAAGTTAGGTTTTAGGTGTAAAACGCCTCATACCACTGCAAATACAAATATAATATAATAAGAATAGCTTGCACATAGAAAGTGTAACCCTGTATAAAATAATGCATCTAATAGATAGATAATGAATAATAATAACAAATAGTCTGCACGAAGGCAGGTTCATGGTATAAAAGCACCACAAACAATGTTCCCTTTTCCTAACTTGTTTATTATTCCCATTACCATTTTCTCCTCATTATTCACTTTTTTATTGATTTGCATGCATTTTCCTATACACACTTCGGCTTCTAAGTTTCCTAGTCTTATGCTTTGGCTTTCAGTTCCCTGTATTTTCTCTTACCGCGTACGTAAGTCATCTAACCATCTTTATTTTTCTATGCCAATATTGTTTTATTTTTAATTCCATTATAAACGCATATATTATTTAAAATTCCAAGTAATAACCACATGATATTTTTTTCTTTTTTTGATCTTTTCAGAATGTCCAATTTTACTAGTTTCTCGTCTTCCTTACTTAGATCTATTTTCATAACTTCAATCCATGCTATACTATTCCAAAAAAGCTTTATTTTCACCACATTCTGTTAATAAATTTTTGACATTTTCTTCATCACCTCTTACACAATTAGCAGAGTATTATTATTTCAGTTATGATTTAGTTGTTTTTTTATCAATTATTCTTGAATTAAAATCGTAAGATTTTCATTTCTTTCTTTTAAAAACTTCTTTAGTTGTAGAGTTTCCTAAAGTCCAATTATATGTAAGCATTGCTCATATTATGTGAGCTCAGTAAAACATAGATATTTGAAATTAAAATCAAACAATAGTTAAAATAAACATCTATTTATACCTGACATTTAACGTACAAAAGCTCACACGGTGGTATGTTTTCATTAAAATGCTTTGTGCTTATTCTTGATGAAACTTTTATTGGCAGAGTTTAAGAAAACAAACATTAGTGACATGATAGATGAAAATTAGCTTGGATAAGACATAAAAGAACTTACGCTTGCACTTTGCTAACATAAAGTTCATGTGATTTATTTTGACTGCATCGCGTGCAACGCTGTGCTGCACGAACGGGTTTAGGGTCTAACGTGCATCCACTGGAAGACTTATAGACTGTATCATACGAATTTAGATAGTTGTACGTATTTCCGCCCACGTAAACCGACGGATGTAGATAAACATTTTAAACATATTTCATATCCAAGAAAATTCATACCGAAATTTATTCCTACCCAGGGTTTCTCATTCGAAATGAAATGTTGTACCCAGTTCCATATGAAAAACGTGGCATATTGAATCAGGATTTTTTTTATTAAAATTATTAATGTCATACACTGAGCATTGCTTTCTGTTAGAATAAGTGCACGTTTTAATTATGTAATTCATCAATTTTTTTTTAGAAATTAGTCTAGAGTCTAGACGCTAGATTTCTTTTTAATGACTGCTTTGACTCAATGTTAGACAATATCTACTACATTCAAATAAAAATAAATCATTGTCAAATATTTTAAATATAGTGTCGACAAGCGTGTAGAAATATGAAACTTGACTGCAAGTAGCAAGATTGTGACCTTAGCACCCGTAAAAATTTCATATATTTTTTAAAAATTGAATCGATCAAATGAAGACAGAGTAATCGATTCAATACTCCACCGTAATTTAAATTCAATTTTATACATCGCACTCCCG